CGTCATATTTAAACAATGTGTAATGCTAATACTAATAACTACTAAGACTTCATCCAGGCAGTACATATTTGATATTACTAAGGACTCTCATACATCACTATTACTTAATGCCCTAAAAAAGCCTTGAAGTATACTGAGATCTTCCTTTTACAAACTTTATATTCAATAAAGTTCTATTTAATTAGTCCAAAATTCAAATATATATTCATGCCAGATATTTTAGCCACAGGGGAGGAGTGAAAAAGATACCTGAGACACTCCTGTGAGAACAACCTTGGTTTTTCTCCCAAAACGTGAGTATGAGGACCCAAAGTATTTCACATGCTATCCATAAAGTGGACAAGGTATGAAAGAAATCTTACGTTTAAGATGACTTTTGGCTGTACTTTTACTTGTCATAATGTAGCTACTCTCAGAGCCAATACATAAGCCACATTATGATTCTTAAAACTATAGCAGTATTTTGGGAAATGTTTCACACTGTGACAAACTTAACGGATAATATATACGTAGCTCTTTATTAACTGGTATGATAGCCTCTTCTGAACAAAAAGAGTTCTGATATTATACATAGTTATGAGTTAAAAATTAGTGCGTAAGAATTCTGATTTTTAATGCACAAATATGTTACTGTTCAACATACCAGCTTTCTTATGTTCTAAATACAAATGAACCAGAATTTAAAATTTTATAATAGTAAGAACAATGATGATGATGATGATGTAATTTGCTGTGATGGATAAATACACAAGAGGAAACTAAAAAAAAAAAAAAAAAAAAAAAAACTACACAAAAAGAAAATATTTAAGCTAACCATCCTAGAGATTTGTATTTCATACACAGAATTTTCACTAAGGAAACACAGTCAGTTGTATTCAAACTGTTTCAGCAAAACTGAAATTTTGTCAACACATGTTGACCTGTGATACAGCTTAAAAAAAAAAAAAAAAAATACTGGATGAGAGCTGGGGGTTTGGCTCAGTAGAGTAAGTGCTTGCTTGGCAAGTGCCAGGTCATGAGTGTGATCCCTGGAACCCAAAAAAAAAAACCACTAAATCACTCATGAAATTATAAATTCTGAAGGCTAACCAAATAGGACTTTCTGTACAATGTTAAATATGCAGACACTAATGTTTACAATGTAAAACAAGCAAAAAATCCTATAATATTTGATATAAGGAAAAACTTCAGAACTTTCTACTATAGTATGACCAATTTTACTAATCTTTCTGTTTCTAATAGTAATACCTTTTTACTTTAACCTTGAAAATAGCCTCCAAACCTATACACTACCAGAGAGCCTTTATTAGAGAACTTGTAGCAATAAACTGGCCTGATTTAATCAACAAAAAGACATACACACTGGCCATTAAGAGTTTATCATTAAAGAAAACATTCTTAAAGATAGTATATGTGAATTAAGATTTCTGTTAAAGGGCCAGGCATAGTTGCACAAATCTGTAATCCCAGCAGGTTGAAGAAAGAGGATCACTGTTCCAAACCAGCCTAGGCTACAAAGTGAGTGCAAGGTCAGCCTGAACTGCATAACAGAAACCTTGTCTCTAAAGAAAGAAAGAAAGAAACATACATTTCTGCTCAATATACATTATCCATGACTATTAAGAATTACTCATCAAAAATTGAAATATCACTAGGGTTACCGAAAGGTCACCAAAAGAACAGTGGAACCCATTTCTCCAAAGGCCCCACTTTACAACCTACTGTCCTAACAAATTATAATAATATACCCTTTCACTTTTTCACTTTTAAAAATGACATGGCTTACAAGATAAGTTATACAATAATCTTAGCCATTACAATATTTTACTAAATCACATGTTTTAAAGATTTTATGAATATTATTATTTGAAAATCTTTTTTTTTTTTTTTTGAGACAAGGTCTCACTATGTAATGCAGGCTGGTCTTGAACTCACTTATGTAACCTGGACTGGCCTCAAATTCAGGGCAATCCTCCTGCCTCAGCCTCCTGAGTGCTGGCACTACAGACATGCACTACTACACCTGATTCTGAAAAAAACCTTCCTAATTTAGAAATTTTGGCTGATTTTCACAGTATCTTGTACCCTGTCAGTTATGCCACTTATACCAATATCACCCAAATTCTATTGTTCTTTAATTTATTTGTTTTCTGGTGTGGTGTTTTATGCATTTAAGACCCAGGATGGAGGTTTTCCTCTGTATTTACATAGCAAACAGGCTTGGAAAGATCCTTTTATTTTAGTTTCATATCAAATTCACATTTTTTTAACTCCCCAGTTAAAATACTGTAATTATATTTATTTAAAAATCACAATTGGCTACTTTCTTGTCCTTTTTATGCCCATGTTAAAATATCAAACTATGTATTAAACACCATATTTAGGATTAACTTAGTAGTAGTAGACATTTCTAAGTAACAGACAATCATTCTTTTATCCGATTTATCCCGAGGTCTGGAAACAGCTCTGGGTTTAAGTAAGAGTCAAAAGATCTGATCTGAGTGTTAGTCATCACCAGGCAAAGGCACCAGTTTTAACTCTGTATGCAATTTTGCTCAGTCATACATACAGGACCACAAGAATCACATCAGAAAAGTCAAGAAACTCAAGTACTTGCCTACTGTTTAAGAAAAATGACTAAGTCTAACACAAAGTAAATATACTGTGCAAGTTAAAGTTATCAGAGAAAACAACTACTTGTCTCAGATGGGGTACTTAAAAACACACCAATTAAAAACCACATTATACTACTTACAGGCTTAGAACAAGGGCCAAGTCAAAGTAAGCATGTTCTAACCCCAGTGCCAAGACTTACTCTATGACAAGGACAAAGTTATTTAACATCTCTACATTTCCATTACCTGCTCCTGAAAATGAAGATGACAGTACTTACCTCACTGTGAAATTCAACAAACAATCCATGTAAAAGATATGAGCACTGTGCCTGCACCTAAGACCTCTATGTCTGCTATGATTGTAGCCTACCATTTATGTCTCTTTGAAAAACAGGACCTGAAAAATTATTTTGCTATCAGAAGAAAATTTCACATTTGTGTTATCTGTCTGTTTACACACAAATGTATATCATCCAAGGTAAGATTAAGTTAGATGACACTGCTAATACTATATAAATATATGTTAACAGTGTGGCCTAGGAAGATTATCACAAAAGCTAACAAACCTTATTCAACAGGACACAGACAGTTTGTTTTCTTCAAAAGAAAACCACACTGATATACTGAAGCACATTTAAAAATAAAATCTCATATTAACACTATCTATGGCTGTTCATTTGCAGAACAGCCGAGTCATAGGTATATATGTTACATTTCTAAATCCATGTATGGAAATCACTTCTTTTAAGGCAATTCATAAGAATAAACTAAAGCAACATTTATATATTCAATATTTCAAAATAAGAAATTTAGATACATGCACAATTTACAATTCTATCTACAGAGGCCATTTTCACTATATTTCAATAATATCTTAATGCAGCATTTCTCTGAACTGTTTAAATGGTAAAGTGAATAGTAACTCAATGCAAGCAAACACAAAATAAAGATGTTAAGCACATGGCATTCTTTTACCCAAATGACTGACCTATTTATTAAACCATTTAATAACAGAGTCCTAAAAATTATACTACGTTATGATATACAGAAGAAAAAAAGAAATGATATTCTTTGGTTAAAAACAGAAACTTTAAGGGGCTGGGGATTTAGCTCAGCAGCATAAGCACCTGCCTTGCAAGCAGGCGGTCATGAGTTCAATCCCCGGTACCAATACAAAGTTAAAAAAAAAGACAAAAACAGAAACTTTACATGAAAAGAACTATTAAAGTAAAAGAAACTGTATCTCACATTTATAAAGATGTTTGTCCACTCTGGTTCATTAAAATAATGTTAAAACTTATGACATACAATAAATGTCACTATGACTAATACAAAAATCTACGTAAACATCATGCTGCTTTCCAAATCCCCATATAAAAGGAATTTAAACAAAAAGTATCTCAGTCAAATTTGTATCTTAAGAGATTCAAAACTAAATTGGACTTCATTTTTATGACTCTTCCTAAAAATATTCCAGTAGTAAAACAGATTTGCCCCTAAAATAAGATTCCATCATTTATTCTAAAGCACAAAATACAGACTTATCCTTTAGATATATAAAAGACAATGTAGGTTGAAGTGTACATGTTCAATCTCAGTTTAAGATTCTAACTGATAGATTCTATCACTAGTTTGTACAAGTTTCTATAATGACTCTGCATACAACACACTGACATTTTATCACCTACCAAGTAACCTTAACAGGTAAACGTAAAGCTAAACAAAGTATAACTGAAATTTCATGGCTATTATAAATTACCAACAAAAAAAAAATCCACAGACATTTCAGTGAATATACTTTGGCCTTATAGATAACACTTGAATTTTCAAGAATCACAAAGAAAGAAAAAAAAGAAAGCAAAACTAGTCAGTAACAATGCAGCATCTAAAAGCAATAAACTCAAAATTAAGTTATAAATAATTTAAAGCATGTCATGAAGATGTATTAATAATTCATTGGATAAATAATTTACTAAATAATCAAATAAATAAATAATGAAATACATAAATAAATCAGCAAATAAATAATTCTGCAAAATAATCTAACCAATAAGCCACCCAAACAAATTGCAACTTATAAAACTACAATGATTTTTTTTTGGATTCCTATAGTTTTAAATAAGCAAATGTACATAAACTAGATCAATCCTTTTTAGAACTGGAAATATTTTTTCAATGCTATCATAAAATCATCTTAATTTATAAGAATGTATTTTCAATTTTTAAACAACTGCATAGGATTAGTTCTCATAAATTAATACCTTGATTATAGCTCCTATATTTTACATCTTTAACATTTTCTCTCAAATAGCTGGATATTTGGAATGTTCTTCACTAACGCTTTTTTTTTTTTTTTTTTTTTTTTTTTAACAAAGAGATACTTACTGTGTAGGAATGCCACAGCCTTTTTGACAGTTTTTCTATCTTCACCAATTTATTAGAAATGTTCTGCAGGGCAAGAGAACAATAGATGACATTTAATTCATTAGTGGACAATGATCCATAGTCTTACAAAATAACAACAGAAGTGCACAGCATTCATTGTAAACTGTCAAGGTCTTAGAGTGGACTAAGTTCAAGCCAACAGAGTCAAGCTTTCACTCTATTGGAGCTGACACACAAGCTATTACAATTGGCAGGATTTCAGATATGAAAACAAAAAGTTAGAAGGACAAAGTGATTAGCTGACATCTAAAGCTATCTTCAATTTGGAAAGTGCAAAGTCCTTGAAAGAATACACTGGGATCACTTAAATGCTACAATCTAGCCCACCATAAGGTATCAAAACACAAATGGCCCCAAAACAAGCCATCATTCGTTTTAAGTTTTACCTACTCAAAGTATAGTGTACTTGAAATCTGTAAGTATATCTCAAACAATGACAGCTTCTTCCATGGATATATGAACTCTGTGATAGATTTTGACACATTTAAGGTCATTCAAAGGATAAAGTACAACCTTTAACAAGAAGAAAATCAACATGAATCAAACTACTGCATTTTATATAATTTAACAAATGCTTTTCAAGTTAAATAATACTTTTCCCTATTTTACAGTCAAAGCAATTTAGCTTCAGGACAACTATGCAGACCACACACAGTATCCAAGGAGCAGGAAAGGTTCAATCTCTTATCTGTATAACTTCTATGTGAAGATCCACTGAACTGTAAATTTGGACTCAATTCAAAGCACAGAAAATTCTAACATTTACTATTCCACTTAGAGCAATGGTACTCCACTAGGGGTGATTTTGTCCCCCAAGTGACATCTAGCAATGTCTGGGGGATAATTCTGGGTGTTGTAACTGGAGATTATTTTGACATTAGTAGGAAAAGGTCTGGGATGCTCCTGTACATTCTACAATGCACAAAACAACTCTCCTTCAACAAAGCATTACCAGGTCTAAAATGTTAATAGTGTTGAGGTTAGGAAGCCCTGGGGTAGAGCAGAAAGACCCTAACAGTATATGACATTCCCAAATAATATATATATTGCTCAAGATGTAGTCTTTTTATCCATATCTAATATCATATACAGAGAGATACGTATCTTGAATAAAAAATATTGTGCATACTTAGGACAGCAGATATATGGAAACTCCAGTTTCTGCTCAAGTTTTCTATATACTTCAAACTGTCTCAAAATTAGCCTTAATTTTTAAAATGTGTATTCTTCACTTATTTAACACTAAAATTCTAATTCTCTTAGAAGCAATACTAAAACTCAGTAGCTCTATAGTCATAAAGATGTTTTTAAAACTTTCATGTATCAAATTTTTTCAACAAAGTTCATATAAGAGCATTAAAAGTTAAATTAATGATACCTATAATTCTAGGACTTAGGAAGCTGAGGCAGGAACATCACTGTAAATTCAAGGCCAGCCTTTGCTACACAGTGTATTCAAGGCCAGGTTGAACTACATTGTAAGATCTTTTCTCTGTCACTCAATGTATGCAAAACTAATGAATTCATCAAAGTGATTAGCCAAGATATTTAATAATATTAGAAAGTCACTGGTTTTGGTGGCTCATGTCTCTAATACCAGCACTCTGGGAGACTGAGGTAGAACTGCAAATTCAAATCCAGTTTCAACAATTTAGCAATCTGGCAAGGTTCTATTTTAAAAATCAAATAATTTTAAAGAGTAGAGAGGGTAGCAGAGCTAAGTATGTATGTAGGCCCCTGGGTTCAATCCCCAGTATTTCCAAAAGAAAAAAATACTTTCATGGAGCTGCAGTATTCTGATGCCACACAATGCATAATCTTCAATGTTCTGTTTTCAGAAACACAGCTTTTAGGCAAAAGCTGAAAGAAGTGTTTTCTGAAATATTTATTACAATTATCAAAAGTACTTAACAAAATTCAGCAACTTAATTGTCAGTTCCAGGAATTATGTATTCTCTGTATAATTTTAAATATTTTCCTTTTCAAAGATTATTCTCTTTAGTCTTAACATAGATTTGTTTTCAACATGATTTAGCTTTTACCATAATACAATACGTATTTCCTTACATCAGACCTTTTACATCATCATAAAAAAAGAGGAAAAGGAAGAGATACATTTATTTCTCCCATATTCATTTCTGGTACATAAAAGGTCCTGTGGCACCTCCAGATATTGACAACTCAATTTCCCCCCATTGTTTTTGCTCTACCATACATTATTTATATTCAGAGTCACCCCATATCCCAAGAAGGTTTTAAGAATTCCAAAGAGTATTCCCACGTTGCAGCAGAAAAAACAAGAAAAAAAGAGGATAAATGGCCACATTGCTCCCTTCTAACTCTAATACTAAGTTTCAGCTTACATTTCATAAACTATAACTTAGCCCTTTGGTTATACTTAACCCCCTGAAGGCAGGAAAATACATAGAAACAGAAAAAAGAATCCAACACTGCCAATAGGCCCAGCTACAAAAATATGGTCCTTTTTTTTTTTTTTTTAAACTAAGGAAGGAAGAGTAAGCTTTGTGTGGTAAATTATAAGAAGTGAACTACAATGGAAGCTTCTATAAAGAATTCTATAAAGAATATGAGAGACAGACAAAGATTCATTAAAAAGTTGAGGTAAACAAGCCCTCCCTGCTCGTAAGCAACAGCAGCACCAGTGAGCAGCAGGCATACCAGGGAGGACAAGTCAGTGTCTCCTGAGATCCAGCCATGTTGGTACTTGGGGGCCCAGCAAGAAAACAACTCACCCTCCTTCCTGGTAAGCTACCACAGCAACAGCAAGCAGGGGGGCGTGCCAGGGAAAGAACAAGTCAGTGTGTCCAATGAGACTATGGGCCAGGGCCAGCATGTGCTAAGAATCAACTGTCCCAAGTACGGCCCCCACCCCACCCTTGGCAAGTGGATGGTATCTTGGACAGCCAGAGTAGATAACAATTAAGGCACACAAAGCAACTAAATGCTTGTATTGTTGGGTTGATTATGCTGACCTGGGGCCAGAGGTCTGAGCATCTCTAGGGAGGATGACTGTATGCAATTTAGCAAATATGGGGGATTCCCTTCTGTCTTCTCTTTGAAGGCAAATACTGTTTTCACTGTTTTGCTTTGTTGTGATTAACTGTTTTGCTCTATTCAACATTCTGTTTTGCTTGGTTTTATAATGTTCTGTTTTTGGTTTGATTTTGCTATACCTGATTGAATGGACAACTATTGCGAAGATAACAAGATATACTATGTTACCTATTACTGCTATCCTGTATCCTGTACTGAAGTTCTGTACCAATTCCACTGCACTATCTCAATTGGCTTTTTTCTGTCTTGTGTTCTTGTATTTTACTACCTTCAAAATTAAAGAAAAAAAGAAGTAGTTGACATAAGCTATGTTTATATTAATAAAAGTGAATGAAAAACTACATGGCAGGATAAACCAGGAATTGAACTCAGGACCTTGTGCTTGCCAGGCAGGCACTTGTACTGCTGAGCTACATCTCAGCCCTACATTTTTAACAAATTTAAGAATACTCTCAGTAGAATGCTATGTAGTCACTATCAGGTTTAAAAATTTACTGAAAATTGTACAAACATGGAAAAAGTATAGAAGTTCTTCAAAAAATTAAAAATAGAGCATTATATGACTCATTCAATACTCAATAATAGCTCTAAAAACACAGCTATTATATGACTTATTCAATATAGATCCAAAAGAAACAAGTATGTCAAAAAAAAAAAAATACCTGCACTCCAATGTTTACTGCAGCACGGTTCACAAAAGACAAAAAATGAAAACAACCAGCGCACCCTTAATTAATGAGTGATAAGAATAGGTTGTACTATATATACAGTGAAATACTGTGTTCAAAAAAAAAAAAAGAATTAAATCCCTCATTTGCAGCACAGATGGAACTGAGGTTAGGTAAAATAAACCACACACAGAAAGAAGTTCCATATGATCTCCCTCAGATGTGGAACCCAAAAAAACTGATGTCACAGAAGTTGAGAACAGCATTGATGGTCATGAGATGATAGAAAATAGAAGAAAGGGACAGGGAAATCTTGATCCACTGATACCTATCTATTATCAGATAGGAACAAGAAGTTCTGGAATGCTGTTGCATAGTAGGGTAACTACAGATAACAATGTATTATACATTTAAAAAAGCTAGAAGGAATTTGAAACTTTTATCATAAAAAACAAATATTTGAGTAGATTTGTTTAACCAGATTTAAACATTACACAATGTACACATGTATTCAAATAACCCTACATCATTAATACGTATAAGAGTTGTGTTCTAATGTATCACTTAAAAAGATAGGGGCGTGGGCCAGGAAGGTAGAGTTTTTGCCTTGCATGCAGGCCCTGGGTTCAACCCCTAGCACCACCAAAAAGAAAAACAAACGAACAAAAAAAAAAGGTTGGAGGGCTGGGAATTTCCAGCTCAGTGTAGAACACTTACCCATAATGTGCAAGATCCTAGGTTTAACAAGCCCTAGCACTGCAAAAAAAAAACTGATGTAAGTTTTTAAGTAGCATGCATGATGATTTGAAAACAGTTTGAACAAAGGAATAAAACATTATAAAAAATGTTCTAAATGATGAGAAAAAGCGTCTCTTCAAATTAAAAGGAATACAAACATTGTATCAGAAGGACATTCTTTAGATCAATTATTCTTAAAATCTGTGATGACCTTGACAAACACAAATAGAATGGATAAAATGTTTTGCCTCTGTCCTTTTAACAAACTACAGAACATTCCAATATAAATCAAATTTTGAGAAGCACACAACTGGAGAAAAAATGCTATACAATTAAAACAAGTATCTAACATTTAACATCCATAGGAGAAATGTTCATAACATTCAATGAAAAATGTTTATAGATAAATATATAGATATGATGGCCTATTTATATATACATACTTATCTATACATAATCATAGACCATTATATATTTAAATATGGTAAAACATTGAGATTAAACAAAATTTAAGAGAATAAA